CTCCAAATCCTGTCACTCTTCACACCCTCTTCTGTCTCTCTAAACCTTTATTTTGAAAACCCACGTCTCTCCTGTCTCTCTTGCGCTCTCTCTCTCAGAGGATTGAATCTGTTTGATTGAAAAAAAAAGATGAGTTCTCTCTCTCAATTCTTCTTCAGTCTTTTACTCAGTGATTCTTCTTCGATTCTTCTTCAGTTCGGTGATTCATCTCAGGATTGCGATTTCGAAGTTCGATTTTGAGCACAGCTTATCAAACTATCGCAGAGATTCAGTTGCTTATAAATGGAATCGTCATAAATCGAAGTTCTCTCTCGAAATCGAAGTGATTCATCAGAGCGATTTCAAAGTTCATATCAGCGATTCAGATCTGTCTCAACGATTCAGATCTCGAAATCGAAGTTCATATCACTTCGATTTCATATTGCGATTAAGATCTAAGTTCATATCGCTTCGATTTCGATTCAAATCTGAGTTCATATCACTTCGATTTCGATTCAGATCGCGATTCAGATCTCAGCTATTCAGATCGGTATCGGTGATTCATATCTCAAAATCGAAATCGAAGTTCATCTCAGCTATTCAGATCGGTGAGCTCCACTCTCTCTCTCTCTCTCTCTCTCTCTCTGCTGTCTAAACCCTAATTATTGCAGAGATTCAGCTCGGTGATTCAGAGATTCAGATCAGTCTCAACGATTCACATCGGTTATTCATCAGAGCGATTTCGAAGTTCTCTCTCGAAATCGAAATCGAAGTTAATCTCAGTGATTCCGAGAGGTGAGCTCTGCTCTGCTCTCTCTCTCGGTGAAATCAGTCCTGTGAAATTCAGATCAATTGAGAAAAAAAAGTTCAACCAGTTGATTGCATTGACTTGTTTTCAAAATATTTTCATTTTTTTTTCTTCGTGTCTCAGCGATTCCGAGAGGTGAGCTCTGCTCTGCTCTCTCTCTCGGTGAAATCAGTCCTGTGAAATTCAGATCAATTGAGAAAAAAAAGTTCAACCAGTTGATTGCATTGACTTGTTTTCAAAATATTTTCATTTTTTTTTTCTTCGTGTTTTTGGGAATAAAAACAATAAAAGTTGAGAAACATTCATATCTTTTTCTTTTTGTTTCTTTTGTGTGAACAAATTTTGCAATTTTTTAAAAACAATATGAAAGTGTTTCCTATTACTGGAGTGTTTTTTAAAAGCTTTTCCAAAGACAACGATTAGAAATAGTTTTCGTAAAAAAAAATTCCATATCGTTTCAGTTTCAATTTTTTTTTCCCCTTTCAAGAATAGAAAAAAGAATGCATTATGCCAGATGATAATAGAAGGCCTGAGTTAGGGCTTACGAAATCTCTTCTATACAATGAAACTTATCATCATAATCATAAAAAATTGAATGTTTTTCATTGGTAATAATACACTAGTACTCCTTTTCTTACTTGAAAATTACAAATTCAATTTGACATACATACTACTTTTCCCCAAGAAAACTTACCCATTAAATGTTTTTTCAGTTGGATGATTGTTTTGATCTATTTTGTGGAGCCATCAAAGCGAGGAAGGTTTCTGCTGAAGCTATTTTAAGTTAGCCGCCACCATACAGCCACATCTCCACCACAACACAGCCACAGTCCATGTTTTTCAAGTTGAGAAAGTTGATATTATTAGGCCATCTCCAATCATGACTCAAATTCGAGTAAAAGCTTTATTTGATATGAACCACTATGGAAATCACCAATTTTTACTCAGATTATTTTTAAAAATTTCCATCATATCCCAAGAATGGCAGTTTGGTACATAATATTACTTTAAATGAAGCAAATCTAGTCTATGAACATTTGAGCCAAGATTTGAGTCTACCTTTCATTTGCCTAAAGAAATGGATAAAACTCAATTTGGTATGACTTTTGAGTCAAGGAGTGAATAAGTGTTCGAAGTGTTTTCACTCAAATTTAAGTTTTGAGCCAACATTTGAGTAAGGGTTGGAGATGCCATTAGCTCACCAATTTTCTCAAGAACTTGAGCTGTTTGGAAATGGGCCCATAAATTGGCCAAAGAATGTATATCAAGCTGTCTAAAACCCCCTCATGTGCAACCTATCTTGCACGTGGAAATCCAAACATTCATATATAGATAACAAAGAATCTGAACAGGGACCAAATGTAAACAGAAATTTTTTAACCCAGGACTTCCTCCAACTTAAGCTCTGATACCATGTTAGGTCATTGGTGATACCGGGATGCATCATCAATTTTTTGAGAAGCTTAAACTGTTAGTAAATGGGCCCTAAGAGTATATATCAAGCTATCTAACAGAAATTAGTAATGTTTTTTTATTGGTTGTTATGTCTGTATTTGTTTGTGAAAAAGGTGGTTCTGATGGAGATCAATGAGGAAGATAAGACAGTAGGGGAAGCGCTGAATACAATTTCTAGAGGGGTCCACGATAAGGTATTATATACTTCTTTGTACACCTCTACCGTTCTCGCCATTCGCTACCTAGCTCATGCTTGACAATCGTTTGGGTATGCTATTTGGACTCTTGAAGTCTACTATTTGGATGTTGAATGAGAAGAGAAGAGAATAGATGAGTGCATACCGTTGATTGCCACCGCTGCCGAATCAGTTTCGCCGTGCCGTCGAAGTGTGCACAGAGAGAGAGATTAAAACCCTACGCTTCCCTTCCATTCCCTTTTGAATCCTCTATTTTCTGCCTCTCTTCTCGTTTTCCTCTGAATACAATGAGATGAGGCTTGGGTGTGTTTATTCAGTAAAAGGGTCGGTCCAGACTTTAAAAGAAAAAAAAAATTGAAAAATGCAAAACGACGTAGTTTCGTTTGCTAATTTATTGGCGACAAAAATTCTTCTGTCGCCATAAGTACCGTTCATCTTTTCCGCGACTATTTCATTTCCGTCGCCAAAACTTTACAATCGGCGACCAAAATTTCGTCGCTATATGTTCATTTGGTCGCGAAAATATTTTTGGCGCTCCCGCCTAAAAAATTAAGTTGGCGCCAAACTTTTTGGCGACTAAAAATATTAACTCGTCGCCAATAGTGTACTTTTGGCGACAAACAATTATATTGTCGCCGATTATGTAAAATTGGCGACTAATTTCAGTTTGGTTGCTAAAAAGCGTCGCCAAAGATGTTTTTTGTTGTAGTGAGGCATTGGCACCTTCCTCTTCGGAGTCTTCTTGTTCTTGACTGCTGGTGACAGATCTCATGGAGGATTCATCCTTGGAGAGAGTTTGGAGGAATTGCTCCTTCATGAAATCCATACTTTTTATGATTAATTTTGTTTCAGAAAAATTGGGAAATTTTTGTCTTAATTCTATTTGAATTTGAACAAAGGGATTTAAATTAATTGGTTGACTGGGAAGAGCTTTAGGAATAGCATCCCAACAGGCTTGTGTATGTGCCTTGATTTTCTGGACAGTTTCTGTTAAAGTAGGGTTCATATCCTTATCCCACCATCTTACAAACAAAACCCTTTTGAGGCGGGGGATTTTGTTCTGGTAATCACATTGAAAGTCCCATTTCCATATCCATGGAATTCCAAAACGGATAACAAAATGGACTAATGATTTACTGATAGAAATGTCCTTGTTTGCTGGTAAATTAGAATAAGCAGTATGCCAATCATTATATGCTTCCCTAATTGGTACAAAGTGAAAATTCTTATAGTGTACATACACAATCAAGGAGCAACCATACATGCAAATACATACACAACCAATAGATTAGGGCTTTGAAACTAATGGAAGTGAAAGGAAAAAGAGGGGGAAATGTATCAAACGACTAAAATCAAACCCATATTTAGGACATCGAACCTATAGAACTTCAAAAATCATGCCACAACAATCAAACCCATTTCATAAATCAACACAAAATTAAACTGAATTAAGCATATAAAACCCTAGAGCAACAGTCAGAAAGGGGGAAATAGAGAAAGAGCTAGAGAGAGAGAGAGAGAGAGAGAGAGAGAGAGAGAGAGAGAGAGAGAGAGAACCTGTGATCTGTAGCGGTGGCGATGGTGATTTGTAGTGGTGGCAATGCGCGATGTACAGTAAGTAACGGTGGTCTGCGGTGAGGTGAGGCAGGGTGAGATTTGGTGGTAAAGGAAAATCTGTGTGAGAAAGATTGTTTTGTCTAAACAGAGAACAGGCGGGCGCCAATATTAAATGATTCCCCTCTAAAATTTTCACACCTTTGGTGACGAAATTGGTTTTTGTCTATAAATATTAACAATTGGTGACTAAAACTTTTTGTAGCCAAAGCTTAATCAACAGCGACTAAAATATTAGTCGCCAAAATTATTTATTTGGCGACTTTCTTTTGGTCGGAAAAAATGAATATACCACGACTAATTTTTTTTTTAGTTACCAAAACTTAATATTTGCCGACCAAATTGTTTGGTCGCCAAAGGGTAACCATAAAAATATGACTGTAATTTGGTGACTAAATTTCATTTTGTTGGCAAAAAATATTATACGACGACTAAAAATAAATTTAGTAGCCTAAAATCTACACTAACGGCGACCAATATTTTTTTAATCGCCTATTATGGAATATTTAGCGACTAAAATTTTTTTTAGTCGCCAAAAGGAAATATATCTCGACTAAAAAAAATTATTAACTATACCCTAAACCAACGCCGACTAATACATTTTTCAGTTGCCAAAAAAGCCACTTTTGTCATCAAATTTGGTCGCCAGAAAATATAAATTGTTGAAAAAACATTTTGTAATGCTATCACAAAATTCCCTGAATAAAGAAAATGTACTTCTATATACCGTTTGAAGATGGTAAGGATATGACAGTGCGAAAAAGTACCTATTATACAATTAGAAAATTAGACAAGTGGCACTTCCATACTTAAAAATAAAATAAAATCTGGGTTATTATCATATCGTTGTAATAAAATTAAGGCTTTTGTTAACGCAAACACTACAGGAAATTAGAGATTTAGTGGCGTTTAATTAACGACGTTTTATTAAACGTCACTTTTTCTAATAATTAGTGGCGTTTTTTAAACGTCGCATTTGTTAATAATCAAAACGGTACCGTTTTGTGCATAGAAGACCTTTGAAAAACGCCTCCTAATCCTGTCACTCTTCACACCCTCTTCTGTCTCTCTAAACCTTTATTTTGAAAACCCACGTCTCTCCTGTCTCTCTTGCTCTCTCTCTCTCAGAGGATTGAATCTGTTTGATTGAAAAAAAAAGATGAGTTCTCTCTCTCGATTCTTCTTCAGTCTTTTACTCAGTGATTCTTCTTTGATTCTTTTTCAGTTCGGTGATTCATCTCAGGATTGCGATTTCGAAGTTCGATTTTGAGCACAGCTTATCAAATTATCGCAGAGATTTAGTTGCTTATCAATGGAATCGTCATAAATCGAAGTTCTCTCTCGAAATCGAAGTGATTCATCAGAGCGATTTCGAAGTTCATATCAGCGATTCAGATCTGTCTCAGCGATTCAGATCTCGAAATCGAAGTTCATATCACTTCGATTTCATATTGCGATTCAGATCTAAGTTCATATCGCTTCGATTTCGATTCAAATCTGAGTTCATATCACTTCGATTTCGATTCAGATCGCGATTCAGATCTCAGCTATTCAGATCGGTATCGGTGATTCATATCTCAAAATCGAAATCGAAGTTCTTCTCAGCTATTCAGATCGGTGAGCTCCACTCTCTCTCTCTCTCTCTCTGTGCTGTCTAAACCCTAATTATTGCAGAGATTCAGCTCGGTGATTCAGAGATTCAGATCAGTCTCAACGATTCACATCGGTTATTCATCAGAGCGATTTCGAAGTTCTCTCTCGAAATCGAAATCGAAGTTAATCTCAGCGATTCCGATAGGTGAGCTCTGCTCTGCTCTCTCTCTCGGTGAAATCAGTCCTGTGAAATTCAGATCAATTGAGAAAAAAAAGTTCAACCAGTTGATTGCATTGACTTGTTTTCAAAATATTTTCATTTTTTTTTCTTCGTCTTTTTGGGAATAAAAACAATAAAAGTTGAGAAACATTCATATCTTTTTCTTTTTGTTTCTTTTGTGTGAACAAATTTTGCAATTTTTTAAAAACAATATGAAAGTGTTTCCTATTACTGGAGTGTTTTTTAAAAGCTTTTCCAAAGACAACGATTAGAAATAGTTTTCGTAAAAAAAAGTTCCATATCGTTTCAGTTTCAATTTTTTTTCCCCTTTCAAGAATAGAAAAAAGAATGCATTATGCCAGATGATAATAGAAGGCCTGAGTTAGGGCTTACGAAATCTCTTCTATACAATGAAACTTATCATCATAATCATAAAAAATTGAATGTTTTTCATTGGTAATAATACACTAGTACTCCTTTTCTTACTTGAAAATTACAAATTCAATTTGACATACATACTACTTTTCCCCAAGAAAACTTACCCATTCAATGTTTTTTCAGTTGGATGATTGTTTTGATCTCATAACATTGGTTTTATCCCCCTCCAACCCCTTCCTTTATAGTGCATTCTTGCATCTGAAGAGAACGAAGAAGCTATTTTGTGGAGCCATCAAAGCGAGGAAGGTTTCTGTTGATGCACTCTGTATCCCAAGTATCTACAAAGTTTGTAATATTGAGGAAAAAAAAAAGAAAAAGAAAAAAAAAAGAAAAAGAAAAAAAGAATTTTCTAATGTCTTGTTTCAAATTGTTCCAATTATTGCAGATATTGTGTTGTTTTTGATCCATTGGATGGTTCCTCAAGCATCGACTGTGGTGTTTCAGTTGGAACTGTATGGCCCCTATTGCAGATATTTAACTTCTATTTGTACCATTTTTGTTTATTGTTTTTTTTTTTTTTGACTAAGCACATTTTGGTTGAATTGATACTTATTTAGAAATTGTTAAAATCTCTTTTATTGGATATAGATCTTTGGGATTTATATGGTGAAGGATAAGGAGAATCCAACTCTTGACGATGTATTGCAATCCGGAAAGAATTTGTTGGCTGCAGGTTATTGCATGTGTGGAAGCTCTTGCATGGTAATTATCATTACCTTCTCTGTGTTTTAGATACTTTGTCATGAATTTTTGTTTGTGGAAAAACTTGGGTTTCTATTCATTTTTGATAGAAAAGCTCCATCTTGTTGATTTTGCAATGGTGTTGTAGCTAGTCCTTAGCACTGGAAATGGCGTCAATGGCTTCACGCTCGATCCATCTATTGGGGAGTTTATATTAACTCACCCAGATATCAAGGTAAAAATTGTGTGCTATCATATTTGAACGCATGAACTCTGTTTTAGTACTATGTAGTTCTCTAATCATGCTTCATTACTGCATCTACGAACAGGCTCCAAAGAAAGGAAAGATCTATTCAACAAATGAAGGAAATGCCCAGTATTGGGATGAACCAACCACAAAGTAAATGTAGCTAAATTTGGCAATTGTCATCTTTCTATTACCTTTAAAAGGCTAATAAAATTTCTTATATTCATTTAATTTTAGGTATGTTGAAAATAGCAAGTTCCCTAAGGATGGTTCATCACCAAAGTCCCTAAGATACATTGGAAGGTATACAATTTTTTGGCATTACAAGTTTTATCACCATGTCAGCATTGCAATCTTGTGTCACATCTCCTTGTCTTTGTTACTTGGTTTCCCGACCTCAACATAATAGTCTTAAATGAATTCTATCGCATGAGGAACTTTTTCTTCTTTTTTCTTTTCCTTTTCCTTTTGCTATTTCTTATTCTTTTTTTCTTTTTCTTTTTTTCTTTCTTTTTCCCCCCGGACCATATCAAACTAGTAAACTTTCCTCATTTTATGACACTTGTAAACTTGTAAAAGAAGGCATCCAATCCTGCACGGTTGAACATTTTAAGCTGTAGAATAAATTGAAAATTTCATTTTTTAACTGGTTTTCAGAAATTATGGACAAGCTAGTTAAGGAAGGTATTCTATCTAAGTACAAAGTGCATCTGTGAAATTAATTAAATTTGGTTGGAAAGAAAGAAAGAAGATTTTTAAGTTTCTACTATCAGACCTTCATCTTCTTCAAATTCTACCTTCTTCTGCCATTTGTAGGAAATATAGATTCGTTGCAATTAGGAAATTTTAGGTACTTACTGTAATCTTTGGGCGTCCACATCCTTGTTTTTGTCTCAAATGCATCTTGACTAAATTGTGTTTTAAATTCTTGTTGATATGGCTGAAATCAGACTTCCAAGGTTAGAGCAGGGTCAAACCAAGATAAAAAATGTTCCAATTGCTGTCACCCCAGAAGGATTCTGGTGCTGCCCTTCTCCTGTTGTGTTTCAAAAGCCCCCCAAGAACCAAAATCCTCTGAACAATCCCAAACCATCCCCACCAATACCCAAGACGTCTTTTCAGAAGAAACAAACCCCATTAACCAAGAAAAAGCCAACATTGATTCCGTCCCGACCAGGACTTGTTTCTGATGAACAAAGAAATCCCGGCTCTGATACACCTGTTCTTAATGCACCTGTAGTTAATGAGAGAATGCCACGGCCCAAGGTTGAAAATTTTCCGAGGAAGGTGTCAATTGAGTTTGGTGAACTGGGAACTAGTGATTTGAAGGTAGTTTTGCTTGGCAAGCAGGGCTTTGCAGTGAGGTTGAGTGTGCACAAGAATGTTCTTGTAGAATATAGCAGTTTTTTCGCAGACAGATTGTTAGAGCAGCCGCCTGGTTTACTTGGTCTTGAAATTGATGATTGTGAGGATGTTGAAATATATGTTGAAACTGTGGGACTGATGTATTGCAAAGATTTGAAGCAGCGGTTGATTAAGCAAAACGTTTCACGCGTTCTGCGTATCCTCAAGGTAATTTCGAGAATTATGTAATAGACTTTTCTTTCTTTATTTATTTATTAATTTTTGAAACTAGTATAGATTGACTGCAATTATGCTTTGAAGGTTTGGTTTCAAGGACAGTTTGTATTAATAATGACTGTAATTAATTGGTTTGGTGTTGTTTCATTAATATGGATTTTTGTTAATATACATATCAGCATATGTTTCTTTTGCGAGTATCAGGTAGTTCTGATAATTATATTTCTATAAACGAGTATTTTTTAGCTTTCCAGTCATGGAAAGTCAAAACACCCAATTGCAATTATGAATGGGGGATTCTCGTTCCTGTCCCAAGATCTAACTCATTCATGAAGTGTTATAATAGAAACTTGAAACATCCAATCAATATTAAGGCACAAAATTATGTCCCTAACCAATTAAGACAGTTACACCATTAACAAGCAAAAGGTAGTTCATTTCTTTTCATTCAGTTTGAATTTTGTGTCTTTGTGTTATTGTAGTCTCAAGTGTTTTTTATTTTTTATTGGGGTAACAAAACCACAATTGTAGAAATTTGACTATGATTTCAATCCTACAATGGAAAATGGAAAAACTTTATGGAAACCAGTGGCCTTTTATTTCAGAATTTCGTTGTTTGCACGATTTGTTGTATAATAATTTGTTGATGTAATCTCAATTAAATTCCACTCAAGTTTTCCTGTTTCATGTTCATGCTTCTTGGTGCACATTGCACATGCCTTTTCCTTAAGAAAATTTCTTCTAGTTGTAGTGATAGACAAATTCTCTGTTTCTTTGAAAAACATTATGAACCTTTATTTCCTTTGCTTGTTTTATGAATGGATTTGAAGACTTAATGTTGTGGTATAAAAGGAAACCATGGAACAGGTGTCAGAGAAAAAATTTCCTTTCAATGCAGAAAATTACAAATTATATGAAGAAGTTGGAGAAGGTGTCAGCGCCACTGTTCACCGGGCTCTCTGCATTCCTCTGCATGAGATAGTTGCCATCAAGGTTCTTGATCTGGAGAAGTGTAATAATGACCTGGTATATGTTAGCTGCTTTATTTATATTATTCTGACACATTTAGTTTATTATTGCATTTAGCTATGGTTTTACTGTACTTGGTTATTTTTCATAATATTGTTATTTTTCAGCTTTATTACAAGTATGTTTTTTAGTTAAATATAATTGGTACTTTTACACGTTAACTGTCAAACTTCTAACAGTTTCTCAACCAAGATAAATAAATGATTAATAAGGTAACAAATATTGGGTCATGAAAATTCGGCATAATGTTTTACTGGCCATCTTATGAATTGTCATGTTGGTAGGCATGATAAAAATTAATTGCGTGGGTGGTTACGCCTTAAAGGTACTACATGAGTTCGTTCTGTTACTTTTCCTTTTTTCTTTGATTGAGGGTCATAGAAGACATGTTGATGCATGACAAGAACATTAGAGCAACTTCATTGATGTAGTATTTAGGTGTAGCAGTACTAAAGAAGCACAACACAACGTAAAACACTCCGACAATGTAGAATATGGTCTGCTAAAAATAGCACATATTTTGTACTACACCAGTGGAGCAATTTACAAAGAGACGTCTCACCTACCACCTTGCCCTCTCTACAGATTTGAAGAATTAATATTGTGACTGCTAAAGAAAATCTTTTAACTGAATGCCATCAATAGCTCATATTGAATGCTAGTGACAGTGATTGACTGATTTTATTTTATCTTTCCTTCTCGACACTTGTTTGAATGAAATAAACCATTCTATGATTTTACTTCATAGGTTGATATTCATTCTTGGTAAAAACTATCAATTATGTACCTGCAGACTGTATGTTCCTTTCTTCTTGTTTGTTTGATGTTCATTTAAAATTTAGGTCTATAGTGCTCTATTCTGACCAGTGATTTGTAAATTGATTAGTAGGATCGACATTTGAGAAAATGATATTTTTTCTTCTATCTCTCCAAAAGTCATATTCTAGGTAATTGTTGCTTCTGGAGTTGTGAAGCATGAGGACCTTGTTGTGCAAGTGAAGAAGTTGTTTACCAAATTGTCATCGGATCCAACCACAACCTTCTGAATTAGTTGCCAAAGGGCCAGCAATTTTTTCAGGATTTTGTGTTAAAATCCTTTGGTTTTTTATTTCTCTTATTTTTCTTTTTTTCCTTGGATCTGACAGTGGGTGTTTTGGTTCACTTCTTATTTTTTGTATTAAATAGGGGAGTGGTGAGAGAGAGAGGAGGGTAATGTTATTTTGTGGCTTTGTATATAAGGTAGTAATTTTTTGATTGAGAATTGTGAATTCAATTTTTGGATATGTTATTTTGTGGGAAAATTAATGTTATATTTGTTATTTGAATGGGAGTGTTATTATTTCATATTAGTGTTATTTAGTTTTATTATTAATGTTATTTTAGTTCAATTACATAAAATTAGCACAATATCAAAACCAAAAAAAAAAAGAAAAAAGAAAGAAAGATAAGACGGCGTTTTTAAAATGCCACTATAACGGTTGGAATTTTTAAAATTAAAAAAGCCTATGAAGGCATTTTAAAAACGTCACTAAAATCATGGTGACGTGACAGTATTGTCAGGGCAGGACATTTGGCGGCGTTTTTAAAAACGCCGCCTATACTAATACAGCGACGTTTTCCAAACGCCATAAACTTATAGCGATGGCCGCGTCGTCGGCGTTTGGTACTAAACGTCACAGAAATAATTAGCGACGTTTTTGGTACTTATAGCGGCGTTTTTTAAACGCCGCTAAAAGCTGAATTTCCAGCAGTGAAAGGAAGAAAATTACATAAACATGATTAGGAATATTATTTGTGTGATCCAAGTTTATTTTGAGCATGATTTCTCATACAATGATCACAAATTGTCTCTTTTTTCTTTTTTCTTTTTGGGTATTGACTGTGGTTTTGAGAATATATTATTTTAGTATTTTTTTTTTTTTTTAGATTTTTAGTTAGAATATGAGGTTAAAAGAATTAGTATTTTAGATTTTTTTTTAATTTTTAGTAAAAAATATGTAAAAGTTAAAGAGAAAATAGCATTTGGTTTGAAACTCAAATCATGATTTGAATAAAAAAAATTTAAACTTATAATTAAACACATAATTCAAAACTCAATTCAAAATTCTATTTTTTTTTTAAATTCAATTTTTTTTTTAATTTTGTTCTTTAAAATTATTTTTTATTTTTATTTTTGAAGAAAATTATTTTTTATTTTTTCAAAAATATATACATTTTTTAAGTATTGGCCAAATAATTTGTTATGATTTAGATATATATGGGCAATTCAAATTTTTTTAAAATATACAAAAAAAAATTAAAAATTTTAAAAATAAACATTTAAAAAATAAAATAAAATAAAATATATTTAAAATAAAATATAATTTTTAAAATTTTAAAATATACAAAAAAAATACAGAGCACAAATGTACTAAATACAACGCACATTAAAAAAATATTTACCCTAAAAAAATAAAATAATTTTTTTTTCAAATATTTTAAAAAAATAAATCTAAATAAAAAAATAAATCCAAAATTTTTTAAAATACAACTTAAAATCAAAAACTCAAAACTCAAAATTCAAAATATAATTCAAAACTCTTTTCAAAATTGAAAACTCTTTTTAAAACTTTGGTCAAAAAACTCATTTCATGACCTCTACGTCACCATGTGTTGTAGGCATTAGGCAATATTGTCTTTTGTCAACCCAACATAATTGGGAAATTCTATTTCCCACACACCAAGTTTCCTTACTCCACACACTAAATGAATTTTTTCAGAATCAAAAATTTATCCTTTAACAAAATTACCATCTCACCCACCACTATCTCACTCACACATCTTATAATTTCTTCATACACATCTCACCTACCACCATCTCACTAGCCACTTCACCGCCAGCCGCCTCCCATGCCCAAACTTTAACCATACAAACAGTGAGTGAGAAGCCGAGGATTGTGAAGAAGAAGAAGAAGAACAAGACCTAATCATTCGTTCAATTACACCACTAGAAGCTCCATAACAGTGAGAGTTACAGAGATTAACGACTAGAATCAACATGGTATCTAAATCTTTAATTGAACCCAGTTTGTGTTCGTACCAGAGGAAGAAATTGAAAAGGCGTGTGGAATCAAGACCCACCTGGTTTTTGGTGAAGAACGGTTCGAACCACATCTGGGTTTAGCTTCTTGGGTATTTCTGATGAATCCAAGAGGTGGATCCAATTGTTGCACTTGAGTATGGTGGTGATTTCATTAACCAAGTCTTGGTTTTGTTGTTGATGGAAAACAAGTGAAGATAGTCTGGTCTTTGGAGTGAGAATATGGGATAAATTGGTTCCTCGTTTGGTGGGATAAATTTGGGCTCCAATTTGAAATTTTACCAGTACCAGTTAGAGAAGCATATAATGATTGGCATACTGCTTATTCTCATTTACTAGTAACAAGGACATTTCTATCAGTAAATTATTAGTCCTTTTTGTTATCCGTTTTGGAATTCTATGGATATGGAAATGGGACTTTCAATGTGATTACCAGAACAAAATCCCCTGTCTTAAAAGGGTTTTGTTTGTAAGATGATAGGATAAGGATATGAACCCTACTTTAACAGAAATTGTCCAGAAAATCAAGGCACATACGCAAGCCTGTTGGGATGCTATTTCTAAAGCTCTTCCCAGTCAACCAGTTAATTCAAATCCCTTTGTTCAAATTCAAACAGAATTAAGACAAAAATTTCCCAATTTTTCTAAAACAAAATTAATCATAAAAAGTATGGATTTCATGAAGGAGCAATTCCTCCGAACTCCCTCCAAGGATGACTCCTCCATGAGATCTGTCACCAGCAGTCAAGAACAAGAAGACTCCGAAGAGGAAGGTGCCAATGCCTTTACTATATTGGCTGGTGAGTCATAAGCACCAGATGAAGATGAATCGAATTTTGGAGATTTTTGGGATTCTCTAACCAGTATGATTGCAGAAAAAATCGTTAAAGAAAAAGACAAAAAAGGAAAAGGCAAAGAATAAAGCATTGTCCCCCATCAGAATCAATCAACCAGAGAGCTGGTACAAAACGACAAAAGTCTTTTTGGCAAAGGCAGATTCTTTGTCTGCCATCCAGAAAAGAAAGATAAAAATCTCACATTCGTCCAAACAAGATAAGGATGCTGGGTTAAAAGCAGATTCCCACCTAGCCAGAGGATAAGGATGATCGACTCCACCCAATCAAGGACACGCCACCTGTCCTCACCTTATCTTTTCTTTATTTTTCTTTGTTCATAAAAGGGAAGGACCTCACCCTTGTTGAGGCAGAATATCTTCTATTACTTCTCTAAGTTTACGAGTGTTTTTCTTCTCCATATGTGCAAACTTTCTCTTGTAATAAAATTTCTCCTATATATAAATTGTGTGTTGAAGACCTATGTTGTTTTGAAGATATTAATGTTTGTAAGTATTTCTTAATGTATGCCCTATGTTAATTTGCTTTTTGATCTTTTACATGTTTTAGTTATTATATTACTAGTCGTAATCATTATTTAACTATTATTCACAATCCGTATCTCCAGCCTTGGGCTATCCAACAGTTAGAATTTTGTGATCAATAGATTCAAAGAATCCAACAGCAAATACAAGAACATATTTGTGTGTGCGCGGCCGCTATAAGGCCTCCACCTCAACAGTAAAATCATGAGACCATATATGTTATAATTTGTTTGTTATATATTTGTATTATGTAATTTATATTCCTGGGCTTGTGCCCGATAAGCGTAGAACATAGAAAGGTTGAGTGGGACATCACCCAAGTCGCATTTAGCTTTAGAAACCATCTTTGCAGAGATTGCTACTAGGTCTGTGCCCTAGTAAATTGTTGACAGACGTGCTTAGCTTTAACCCTGTTGTGTCAAGCACTTTATGTTGATATCAGAGCCAAGTTTATACATTGATGTAATACAGTTATATAATAATTAAATTATTCATATATGGTCACATACAACTAATGACAGAAGAAGCACCCATCACAACAATAGCTAATACAGTAGCTTCTGCATCAGAAGCAACAGAACTTGTAGCTTACCAGGATGTTAAGGAAGGCTTAGATAAATGGACAATTCCTAATGCCAAACCAGATACAATTTATAAAATAGGAACATTTGATTTTACCAGTAGAAAGATAATTAAAACTTTTGAGCATGTAATGCCATTACAGAATAATGACAAAATAATTAAATTACTTCATATCTAGGATCTTGCATCTTTTTTCAGAAAATATAAATATATTCACATAGGACTTGTCCAGATAGCCTTCAAACCTTTAACTTTGTTGGGACAAAATACCAGTATCCAGTGTACTCTTCGTGATGGAAGATGTCTTGATTGGAAGACTTCTCTTATGGGAGTAATTGAAACTAGTTTATCCCATGGACCAGTCTATTTTAATGTTTATCCAAATTTGAGTGTTGCACTTATGGATCCTAATCTATCCGTAGTTTTAGAACTTAGAGTTCTTACCCATGGTTACAAGTATATGGCAGGAACCCCTCCTTTAATAGTCATTTTTAGGATACATCTTAAGGTTCTTACTACCTTTAACCCATACATCAGAAAACAAAGTGAATCAGGACAAACAGTCTTGATAGATACCAACTTGTTCAGTAGCCAGGTAGCCGTTCCAACAATGATTCCTTGGCAAAACATTACCTTTCCAGAATCATGGCATATTCCTAATGCCGTTTCAGCCAGACCAATTATTAGACAAACAATTGATCAAGTTGTCCAGACTCAAGGA